AGAGCTCAGATCTCAACAGGGCTATCTTCGCTCTAGATCGATTCCTGAGGATGAAACCGACGGCAACGATTCTGGTGCTTTTGCTTCTGGTGAAGAAGAGATCAGTGATTCGGACGACAATGAAAACTCTGACAACGAAATTAATTTAAACAATAATGGGGAACTCGCTCCATCTCTGGCAAACCCTGACTCCATATCAGGAATACTGACAAAGGTTGATTTTGTCATCCAACGTATTACATCTTCTTCTTCAAAACGATCCGAGTATGACGTGTGGCGAACCAAGCTTGAAGACCAAGGGCCAACTCTCATTGCTGGCTACGGGATTCGATGGAACATCAAATGGGAAAGCCGAGACCGTGCCTACAAGGGCCGCAACGTAATCAGCCGACTCATCGAAAATGAGAAAGACCGGCAAGAAAGAGATGGTGGAAAGAATTTCTTTCATGATCATGAGATATCACGGGGTGACTGGGAGGTTGTGAAGCGACTTAATGACATACTGAGTGTAAATATGAGTTTCATTTTCATGAAGATGCGTGTTTTTCATGACTATTTTTACTAACTGATTCCTTTCACAGGAGTTTTACTTCATAACCAAAAAAATGGAAGGCGACCATTCTTCCGCAGGCCTTCTCCTGGTCGAATATGTCTCGATAAAGGATTTTCTCAAGAAACGAATCAACAATGTGGCCGAACCAGAATTTAAAGCAATGTTACGGAAGATGATTGAAAAAACCGAGACCTACCTACATGAGGCGTTGGTGTGTGATTCGGTCATCCTGGCCACAATTTTGAACCCCTCCTTTCGGCTGTCCATATTCCAAGCCTGCTTTTCTTCCCACTATGACTATGCCAAAGCTTTGCTTCAACAACAATACACCAACCGAAAAGACGAACTTGTTGCCAACATCAATTTAGAAGAACCTTCCCCCCCAGTTACCTCTCAACCACAACCAACTGACCATCATCGACCCATAGACAGCATGGTATTATTCCCGGAATCCATTGAAGCTTCAGTTTCCGATGAGCTGGCCATTTACCTTGGGGGGAAGTACAGATCTCTCCCTGCACAGGCAGGTCAATGCCTCCAATGGTGGAAAGTAAGTGAAACAAAAACATTCTCAACAATTAACATATCATGCATGGTTCTAAGGATGATTCAACTGTTATTTAATTTAAATCAGGAACACCACAACGAATTTCCAGTCTTGGCATCCTTGGCCAAGGATTACTTGGCCTGTTCAGCAACCTCGGCTAGTGTAGAGCGATGCTTCTCTGCTGCTGCTGACGTTTGCGGACCCGACCGAGGAAGATTATCCATCCAAACTATTGAGAGATCAGTGAGCTCTCATCAGTGGTTAAAGCAGGGATTCAAAGCCAATGATGAATTTCAAACTGCCCAAGATATTGTTTCTCAGGATTCGATGGAGGAGGAAGAGAGTAAAACTAAATGTGCTACTGCTTAACACACCGTGGTTCTTCATTTTTCTGTTATTTTCATCTATCTAGCATCTAGAAATCCCATTATCACACCTCTTCCTCCAGTTGGGGTTATTCATGTTTCTTGTTGCATGTATGTTAGAAAAAAAAAATCATTTTTTTTTTATAAATGCAATTTGGAGCAGTGGGGAGAAAATACATTGAGTACGCTGAGTATCGTACTCGTATCGTCCCAAATCCTGAGACGATACGGGCGTATTTTAAATTGTGTACTCGCTGGCCGAGTACAATGTACTCGTATCGTACTTGTTGACTAGGGTGATACGACGTACTCGAGTACACACGTACTCAAAACAAAGTACAGTACAATGTAATGCGAGTACGATACGTGTATCGTAATGGTTGCACCGTTGATACTACAGTGGGTGGAATGTTATTTTTGGCTGCTTGTTTTGGGTTCTACAGCTTCAAAGCACAAACTCCAATTCACAAGACTTGGTGAATTGGTGCAGAATCGGTCCCAAAGAATGAATATGAAAAACAAAAACAAAAAATAAAGTTTCACAATTTGTGAAAAATAAAAAATAAAAATGGTTTTTTTCCAAAAGCTTTGTTATTGATTTTGGGGGAGTGGGAGTGCTGAGAGAAAGAAAGAGTGGAACATGGGAAGAATGATTCTAAATGAAAAAAAAAAATTGGAACCAAAAAAGGTTTGGCCAGGTTGGTTGTCCAGATTGGAGCCAAAACAGTAAATTCTAGTGCTTTACTGCAATGTGGGCTGGTGAATGCCCCAATCAACAGCTCTTTGAAGCCATCTGGAAAGCAATTTTTCCAAAATTTTCATTCATAATCATTTTTCTAATATCCCAATCTTCCTTTCTCTCAGCACTCTCAATCCCCCAAAATGAATTTCAAAGCTTTTGAGAAAAATAAATTTTATTTTTTATTTTTCACACATTTTGAAACTTTGTTTTTTTGTTTTTATTTTTTCATATTCATTCTTTGGGACCTATTCTGCACCACTTCAGCAATTCTTGTGACTTCAAGTTTGTGCTTTGAAGCTCTGGAATCCAAAACAAGCAGCCAAAAATAATGGTCCACCCACTGTACATGTACCTCGCCAGCTGGAAGAAAATCCTTCTGGTGTGGTAAATAATACTGTGTTTCTGCACAGAAGATATAAAAATTTCTTATTATCTCTTTATGCATTAAAGATATGGTAAAAATTAAATCAAAAATGGAATTCTCCGGTAAAATAACCCCTAGTCACTCACTAAAACCATGCCTTACCTCTTATAGTTTAGAAGTTACACGTATTTCAACCTGTCACGGGATATTTCTTGGATTCTGCACCCTAGCCATAGTCATTATGAATACAGAATACATATTGAATACTGAATACCTTTGTAGTAAATTGAATACCTTTACGTTATATTGAATCCCATTGTATTAGTGATATTGCATGTATGCATCTGTTTGATCATACATATGTGTCCCTTTATTCATTCATATGCATCCCTTTGTAGTTGTATCTAACAGCCTGTACCCTGAGTCTGGGGCCAAAATCCCTCATATTTGTCTATATAAGGAGGCCCTGCCTGCCAGTTGTTCCCTCCATCATCCCACCAGTGGATCAGACCATCTCAACCACCCTTATACATAAATAAATCTTATACATTATTTAACAACTACAAGTCATAGCCACACATCATTTATAGCTCTATATACATTGAAATACACTTATAACACTTTCATCATCATCATAAAACAAAAGTACCCTGAACCCATTCCATTCCTGGTTGAAGCATAGTGCTCCCAAAACCCTCTCTTTTAGGCTTTATATACCCCAAGGCCAAGGTCCTGTGTTCAAGCCCCATCCTCAACAATATTTCTTTCATCACCATATTTATCAACAACAACTTCATCAATATAACCAACATTCAATAACATCTTTATACCCTTACACATAGCAATTGGAAGCTTCATCTCAAACTTATCCCTATCATCATATATAAATTTGCCAAGCTAAGCTTGGTGGTCTTGTTATCCTGATAGTATAGAAGGGTAGAGCTTGCAACTCCAAAATACCCTTCTCCATTCAGCAAAAGGGTTTCCATAACCACTTTTGAGTCTTACATCGGTCAATGAGGTACATGTACCTTGCTGGCTGGAAGGAAACCCTTCCAGCTGGCCATCTCCCCTTCCGGCCTCGGGTATCCTTGGGGATACCCAGATACCCGCCAGGGTTTTGCGGAAAAGGGGCCATCCGCACCCGCTGGCGGGTATCTGCCAGCGGATAATGGGTATCCGCAACGGATACCGGTCGACCATCTCTACTAATTGTCAGAGGTGTTAGTCTTGCAGCAACTTCTTTATAAGGAATTTTAGCAAGGGATGAAAGAGGAATTTCAAATTTATGCACTAATTATTCCAGTAATAAAAGGTTGGTTGGCATTGGGATAAAATATTCTCAACATAGGTGGAGGGTATTCACTGTACTTGAAAGTAGGGGCTTGGTTAATTGATTCCCAAACCCCCAAAACCCCTGATTTCCCCCCGTATTCCCCAATTATTGGGACTCAATCCCCCAAACCTGTCAGCAGGTTTGGAAGTTGCATCCCCAATAATCAAGAAAAAATGAAAATCCCAGAGGGGGAGGGAGACTGGGAGTCAACACCCCAAAACCCATTGGGTTTGGGGGGTTGGCAAACTAAAAACAGCCCCTGACCGCCGGGATGGAATCCTCCCCGCCATTGCAAGCACATACTCAATGCCAAGCTTGAGGGTGTAAACTCTAAACGGACAACAGTGTATACCTCTTGGTTGTCAAGAGTGTACAATCTCAATGGCCAAGAGGCTTTCAATCTGGCCAAGGGTGAAACCCCCAACAACTGAGAGGGTTTGCCTTGGCTGTTGAGAGTGAAAGCCTCTTGGTCGTTGAGAGTGTACACTTTCAACAGCTGAGAGAAAGCCTAGGTATTGGTTGTTGAGAGTGTATACTCTCAACAGCCAAGAGAAAGCCTCTTGGTTGTTGAGGGTGCACACCTCAACAACCAAGAGTGTTTCACCCTTGGCCATTGCAGTGTCCACCCTCAACAGCCAACAGAACACTCTTGGTCATTGAGGGTACACACCTCAACAGCCAAAAGTGTACCTCTTGGACATTGAGAGGTACACTCTCAATGGCTGGGTAGCAGTGGCCAAGAGTGTACACCCTTGACTGCCAAGAGGTACACTCTTGGCAAGAGTGTATACTGTTGATGGCCAAGTTGAGAGTGTATGCACTCAAGCTTGGCATTGAGTGTGTGCTCGCAATGGCCGGGAGGATTCCCTCCTGGCCGTTGGGGGTTGTTTTTGGTTTGCCGACCCCCAAAACTCAGTGGGTTTTGGCAACGGTGCCACAGATACGAGACATGTATTTGTATCGGATCGTATCGTATTTATTTTGAGCCTGATACCGGTATCAGTATTTCCTTGGTTGGTGAAAAAATACATTGTATCGGATTTGGATTTAAAAATGAAAAAAAAAAAATTCGTCTTCGTTTTTTTCGTTTTTTCTTCAATACAGCCAAGTATCTTATGTATCAAATACGGTTTTGGTGGGATCAGTCATCTGAGACGATACAGAATACATTTCTCACTTTTCAAATACGATACATGTATATGTCTCAGGGAAAGTGAGACAACACAAATCCGGTATTTTTGGGTATTCCAATTCTGAGACGATACAGATAAACACCTGATACCGTATCGTATCGTCTCTGTGGCACCGTTGGTTTTGGGGCATTGAATCTCTCCCCCTCCAGGGGTTTCATTTTTTTTTTTTTAATTATTGGGGATCGGACTTTCAAACCCGCTGATGGGTTTGGGGAAATGAATCCCAATAATTGGGGAATCTGGGGGAAAATCAGGGGTTTTGGGGGGTTGGGAGTCGACTCTTCAACTTTTGGGAGTCAATTAACCAAGCCCCTAAACGTATACTGGGGGTGAATATTCTGAGGAACCAATCTTAGGCCATAGTGGAATTTTGGGAGTTGAATCACCACTGGGTTGGTTATGGCTGAGAATCTGTCAACAAGATGTATTCATTGTACAATCTCCTTGACCAAGAGGAATTCATCTTGGCCTTGAGACTGTAGTCACCTACCAGTTGTTCATAAGCAGTTTGGTTGGATTACATAACCCCAACCCACCAATTTGAAATCATGATTCTTGGGCAAGTGGTATAAGATTGGTTTCAAAAAATAATTCTGAAAACAAAAGTATGAAAAACTGATTATTAAAATTTACAAAACATATTACAGTCACTGCACTTATTTCAAAAGCTATATTCAAGCTTTCCAAAATGACTGGCCAGACCACCCCCAAACATGTGTGCACAATTAAAGTAACAACTCCCAGGACTGTCCTGAAAAGATAGTCCTCCTGATTTATCCTACATTTTGAAAGTCCTTTGCCTAATTTTTGGGGAGTTAATTTACCAAGCCTCTTGATAAATTGGTACTCACAACATGACTGCTAGAAGATGAGGCTGACCATCTTATGGGTGAAGAAACTACTGGGATGAGTACTGAAATGGGGTATATAATGTATATTCCACCCTTTGTATTCACTGATTTACAAACAGAATAGTTGGATAATCATCTTGGTTGCATTCATTGTTTTGCCCTCAATCAACCCCACTACCTTGTGTTCAATTCCTGTTCAAGGTACTCAAACTGTGAACATCCTTCTTCATCAAGACTAAAATGTGCAACCTCATTATGTGGACCACAGTTGCAACAATTCTTGGGTGTTACTCTGTTAGTGCTTATCCAATGCAACCACAACCTATGCCTCCTACTGGATATTGTCGAATCTGCAAGGAGGTTCACTTTAACCCCTGTGATCCAGTAGATCCACCAAGAATACCAATAAAGGTCATCACTGACTCAACTGGGAATGATTCCACCTCATAGAAGCACTGAATGTTCAGATATATGACAGGAAAGGGAAAAAAAACATAAGAAAATAGAAAATAGAAAATCACCAAAACAAACATAAACACAGCTGTCCAACCAACCAGAAAAAAAAAAAAAAAACCATAAAGCCATCAAAAAAAATAAATACATAAATCATAAATCCATCAAAAAAGAAGAAAAGAAAAAACCCCAAATCCTACGTAGGCACCAAGTGGTTGCCTCACTTTTTCATTCTTCATGAATAAAGTAGCTCTCACTCAATTCAATCTCAATCATGTTCTATCACCAGACCACAGACAAAGGCAATGTGCACATATTGCCTTTGTTGGCTGGTGTATGGAATTGATTGATGAATTTATTCCTGAATACACTCCAACCTGTCTAAGGACATACCTCTTGGGAGAAGGATTTTTGTATGGCTTTAAACAGGTTATATGCTCAGAGGGAAGGATGAAAAGGAAGATTTGGGAGGAGCTGTTGCTTATGCACTTGTACAGGTTATGTACACAGAGAGGGAGGCTCTTAGACAGGTCTCACTCTATTCCCAAATCAAGAAATCAGATGATCATTGCCAGAGCTTCCATTTTCTGGAATGGAAAAAATTGACTAAACCAGACTGATAATATTTAGAATCAAGAATAATCAATAATCTTGGGGGGAAAAAGGAGAAAGTCTCCACAAAATTCCTAAAGAGTATCCCCAATAAGATGCACAGAAGAGGATAAACATCAGAAAATGACATTGGAAACATTGAGGAGATGATACATCATAGAAAGGAAAACAGGAAGTGGAGAAAGGAATGTTCATGTAGGCAGACTTTTGTGTTGAATTTCTAATATACAAGTACATACAATGATGATCCTCAGCTGATCCAGACCGTAGCTTTTCATACCACTGAAAGATACTTGATGATGTTGAAGTCTTGAGTTGAGCATGTTCACTTTCTCCTGCTCTACAACATTGATATTGTGCATGCATACAGGTCCTCGGATCGGATCCTGTACAACCAGGGGCCTTACATGATCCAGCTCGGATATCTAGTTGTCAACCCGGAATACCAGGATCACCGGTCGAGATCGAAGGAAAGAACCACAGAAGAAGTCACGTCGAGAGGAGTACGACTCACATCTGGCGATCGAACGGGACACAACGCGAACCACAGCGGCGAGAGAAAGAGATGATCGGCCGGCGGTCACTGCAGAGGGTGCAAGAGTGGCGGACGAGGACTAGTAGAGCGCAGACTCAGGGCCTCTCGAGGCTCGCGAGAGACGGGCCTGCGAAGCGGCGCTGGACGAGTTCCTCATCATCATCATCATCATCATCGACGACGAGAGGGGGGGACAGTCGGATGGAGAAGATCTTCCGGACCATCCAGGCCCGATACCCGCACATCTCCGCCAACCATCTCCCCTCCCTCACCGCCGCCTTCGTCCTCCTCCACGAGCTCACCGCCTTGGTCCCTCTTCTCGCGATCTTCGGAATCGTCCAGACGACCGGAACCGGCGCGAAACTCGTCCACTTCATCCGCCACTCACTCCCTCCTCCTCCCTCTTCTGATTCCGACTCTTCTTCTGATCAAGAACCTGCTTCTTCTGTTCCGCAAGACCGTTCCGATCCAACCCGACATTCGGCGATCGCCGGCTCTCTGACCCAAGCCCTGGACGAAAGCGCCGCCAAGGTCTCCAAGCTGGCCGAGAGATACGGCTACTCATCTGGCCAAGAGGAGCCGGAGGACGACGAGGCCTGCGACGAAGAGAGTAGATCGATGCTCGAGAACGGCGTGCTTGCAAGCGGCTTGGTCGCCTATCTATGTGTCAAAGTACCTCCTCCTCTTTTCTCTCATCTGCTCCCCCCCTCCCAACCGAAAAAAGAAGGAGCTGATGTTTTGTTTTTTTTTGTTTGGTTTGTGATCGTTTTTCTCACACAAACGGAAGATTTTATTGCCGATACGCGTCTCCGTGTCGGTCTATTTAACCCCATCGTTAGCCCGGCAGATCCGCCGAATGGCCCACTGGGAGCCGAAGAGACCGGCCGAATAATCGCCTGCCCTCCCTCCCCCTTGGTTTTTCTTCCGAAAATGAGCAGGAATGGGGGGGATATGAAAAAAATCCACGACGGACTGTGATCGATCTGTTCCGTCGATCATTCAGCGTTCCCGAGACTCGCTCGCTCGCTCTCCGGCTCTGATGACACTGGACTCTCTTCAGACTGTCTAGTATATCACCGACAAGATCCGAATGATCGATCAACGGGCCTGCGAGCTCCTTTCTCTCTGGGACTAAGATGATATATTGTATCAAGAGACCACCAACACTGATGTAAGATAATTTACATAGGCATCTCGCCCGCATTCAATTCTGCTCAGAAGCTAAGTTATTGAGGTAGATATACACATGAAAAGAGGGTTATATATGTATACGTGTGTGTGTGTATGTGAGGTAGGTGGGCTGTGATCAGATCATCAGCAACAACAACACAAGAAAGAAAAGCAAACGAGATCGACGACGTGCAAAAACAAAAACAAATACACAACAACAAACACCAAACAACAGCAAAGAAAGACCACTAATAATACACACATTTCAGCCCCAAAGCGAGAACAACGAAACGGAGGAGCTGGTCGAGAAGGGGAGGAAAGTAGGCCACCAAAGCTATCAGCAGTACAACGCACGATCACCAACACGCATGAGAATAGCAGCAAGATAAGGATCTTTGAACGAGCGTGAACAGGAGAAGGAAAGATAAGATGTGGGAGTAAGAGTGAGAGAGAGAGAGAGAGAGAGAGGACATGTCCATAGTGGACACATACATACATATGTATATGAACAGGGTAAATGGTCAACATGATGATGCGGAAACACATAATTCAACAACATAGATACATAGATATAAATGTGTAGATAGGGATGATGACAAGAAACCGAAGCCGACCGCGAATTGCTTGATCGACGGAATTTCGAAACCATCAGGATAAGAGAGTTGGATCTGAGACTTGAATGAGCTATATATACCAATGCTACATGACCGGAACGAAAGCGCGTAATATGTGAGTAAAGAAAGAAACAAAAAGAAGAAGAAGGTGAAGAGAGAGAAAGAGAGCCCATAAGATAAGAAAAGAGAAGATGAGTCGAGGAAGAGAGTCGATCATTGAAGAGGACCAATGTTGCTACCATCAGTAGGCAAAGGATGAGAATCAAGATCATGAGAGTCATGAGTGCCAAGGTGAGGATTATGAGGAGGAGGAGGAGGAGGGGCGAGGTGATCGACATGAGCCCAGCGATGGACGAGGTCGAAAGCGGAGACCTGGTCCTGATCGAGGAGCAGTTTATGCAAAGAACTAGACGGGGAAGGGCACGAAGGATTAAGGAACCTAGGCTGCTGCTGCTGGTGGTGGTGGTGTTGCTGTTGCTGTTGCTGCTGAGGATGGATGAAGAGATGATGATCATCGCGCAAGATCTGTGAAAGGGAAGAGCCCAATGGAAATGTGGGCTGAGGAGGAGGGGGAGTATTAGCCTTCCTGCGTTTAGCGGTAGTCCGATCAGCCGAGGCCGGGGTCTTGATGACCCCATTCGCGGAGAAGGGGAGAGCGCAACAAGAGGAGGATCCGGCTGTGCCGCCGGCCAGAGTGGTCGACGAAGAGGTGTTGGCCGAGCCGACGGTGGAGCGTTCCCATCCGCTCATCATGCTCGAGCTCAAGCTCCGCGCACTCTCGTCCATCGTCGAGGTCGACGAACACCGGCTCCGGACCAGCCCGCCTTGGGTCGTCCCTCGACCCGTCTCGCTGCTTGGCCCACCAATCGCGCCGCATCCCTCGCTCGAATCCACTTCCATCCTCGACACCCGTCCCATTCCGCCTCCGCCTCCTGCTGCTATCCCGATCATCGAGCCCTCCCGTCCTCCGAGGCCAAGCTCTCCTGAAGATACAACCCGTCCGTCTCGCTTGTTCTTTGCCTGCTCGTGTCGATGCTGGATCCCGATCAATCGCAGTCGCTCAACCCAACTACAAAGTTGAAAGAAAAAAGAAAAAATGTCAACCTCATTCTGAATCCAATATAAAGAGAGAGACTGACGCATCAGCCCGCTCGACGCTTTCGGAGAAGATAGCGGTAATAGACTTGAGCATGTCGAGGCTTTCGACGGCAAACGTGAGCACCCTTCCAGCCGCGAGGAGAGTTGCGGTCTTGGGGTTCGAGATCCTGTCGACAGGGCCAGCTGAATAGCCAGGGGGAATGGATGTAGAGGCAGCAGTAGAGGGAGAGGGCTGGATAGCCTCTGCCCAACGGAGAGGCAGGCCGAGGATGCTGGTCCGAACGAACTGCTTGGCCGGCTCGGGCAAGCCCACGCCGGCATACTTCGACACCACCGCCACCACCTTCCGGATCGTCTCCACCACCTCCGTCTTGATCCCCGCCAGGCTGCCCGCCGTCTGTGCCGAGATGACCATCTGTTGGTTGCTCTCCTCTCTTTCCTCTTCTAGCTCCCCTCCTCCCGCCTGCGCGGACTCCCTCCGATCACCGCCCACCATCGAGACTCCCTCGTTCATCGTCTGGATCAAGTCCCGTAAGACGGTGATTTGGTGGTCCAAATGAACCGTTGCATACTTCATCATGACACACACACAAAAAATATACACAATCAAAATCCGAATCCCGAACATAAATAAACAAAAGCCAGCAACTTACATGAAGCCATTGAAGACAATACTGCAGACTCTTCATGCTTTCCTCACTGACGGCTGCGCCGATCCCGCCGGCGGTGACGCCGGCCTCGACCAACATATTTTGCCAACGACTCAAGCTGTTGCGCGGGGTGAGATAGACGAGTCTGCCGCCGGGGGAGGCGGCGGGGGTTGGCGGTTCTGAGCCGTCATGTTCCTCGAGGCTCTGCTGTGGGTAAAGCTGGTGAGAAGGATGGAGGTGGGTGTGAGGGGTGAAGGATGTGGTGATTGTTGGAGTATCGAAGCCATCGTGTGTTCCAAGCTCATGCTGATGAGGATGAGGATGATCAGGAGGCGCGGGAAAGATGATCCCGGGCTGGTCGATCGACCGATGCAGCTCTTGCTCTTGAGGTGAAGATCGAGTGTCGAGGAGTCGGAGCGAGTGACAATGCTGGCAGGGCGGAGAAGTGGCGGGGGATTGGGAGTGACTGAATTGGCCGAGCCGGTCCAAGGCGGCGCCGGCATAGCGATCGATCTGGGCAATCCGCTCGGGACCGACCTTGGAGGCCACCCTTCCGGAGAGAGAGGTGACGGAAGACTCGACCAGATCGGCACCATACTACATCCATCCCACCCCCCAGAAGTCCTTCTCATCAATTTTTGATCGGAGTGAGGGAGAGAGAGATGCTTACTCGGACTACTTTGCTCGTCCCTTTCCCTCGTTCGTAGGCCCTGACTACCCCGCTGAACAGAGGCATCTTTCCGACCCTCTGGAGAAACTCGCCGCTGGATTCTGGGTCGATCGGTTGTTGTTGTTGTTCCTGGTTATTAGCCATGTTTTCTGGTGGTTTTTGTTGATGATAGTAGTCGTTTGGGTTGTGTGTTGTTGGTTGTTGTTGGTCTGATGTGTTCATGTTGGGTGTTTCTTGTGGAGTGAGACTGGCCATTTACATGTTTATCTGTTTGTCATGAGTCTTTTACAACATGTTTGAGGTCCCTCTTCGGCTGATTTCACATGTTAATCTGCTTGAGTTTTTTTTTTTTTTCAGTTTTTCATGAGTGTGATTGTGTGCTTGTGTGGGTGGGTGTGTTCTTTTCTTGAGAAAGTCTATCATCCAAGACTGAAAAATTTACAGCTGGTCAACAAGCACACTTGATTGTGAAAAAGGGTGAAATATAAAGGGGGATGTGAAAAACAATTTCAGACTGATACTATCCCCCCGACCACTCGAGCCCGAAAACCCCGGGGGAGTCAACCATAGTGTAACACACCAGCGAGACGCCCATCGCGATTCTTGGATTCAGCAAGACAACACCAAACAAGATGAACCCGGTCAGCAAGAAACTCAAGCCGAACAACACTCGCGCCGACGGCCCAGCTCGAGAAGAAGATGAAGAAGATTCAGAACACGAGCGGAAATCGGTCGAGGAATCGATCACCACTCAGCTCAAGAACCGGATGCTAGCATCCGGAGAATGGCTCAGGTAAACACTATCCTTTTTTTAACATTATTCTTATCATTTCTTTTTTTTTTCTTTCAAAATAAATAAATAAATAAACGAGGTAAAACATCACTGACCGATCCATCATCACTTTATTCTAATTTGCAATTTTTAATTTTTATGGATGTGAAAAAAAAAATGAAAAAATAATAATAAATTCATGAAGAAAAGGTTACAGAAGATATTGATGGTCAAGCTGAAAGGATCAGAATGGGAAGAGCAACTACGCTGTGCGGCCGAGAGTGCGTCCCGAAGAAGCTCCCCCTTCCCTTGCCTACACTCACCGAACGGGCCATCAAACCCACAAGAAACGACCAATAAATGACTGGAATTCGTTCATGCTCATAGCTCGAGCGCTAGAACCCGATAACCCGACGCTGACGAAGCTGATCCACCACTTGCGTCCGATTGCCCAAAGTACGTCCCCCTCCTCCCCTCCCCTCCCCGATCCATCCATCCACAAAAACAACCAAACTGACTGGCGAGGTGCTTGTAAAACAGACACGATCCCGAGCGAAATCAAGCACGAAATCAGCACCTCTATCGAGCAGTTCATCCGAGCCAACATCGAAGAAGAAGACGATGATGATGATGCTGATCACCAACAACTACAAAACAACAACGATGATGATGATGACGAGGAGGAGGAAGACGAGGAGGCGATGGAAGAAGTGGTCTAGTCTGAACTTGCTTGCTTGCGTAGAACTTATTACTCGCTATCCCTTTTGTTTTGGAGTTTATTTATTCTTCATACGTGGTAATCCTAGTTTTTTTTTTTTTTCTTGAATGTATTTATATGTGTACTACTCCGCCTTTTAACACATTTACGATCAAATGTCCACCCATACAAGCATATACGATTATTTGTTCTTGCCCTTATTAAGACTGATTCTGCTCCAGAAATCCAAGTCCAGAAGAGCAAGAAAGAGCCAGATTCCTTCACATCCTTCCCCCACTCTAAACAACCCTGTTATTGATTAACAAATCAACAGAACATAGATTACACCGAATTAACCATGATGAATGCGCTTCAAGACAAGCTTCCGACATGATTTTTTTTTTTCCATTTTCCACATGACAACAAATAATTAATTATGATGGAAAAAAAGACGAGTCAACAAATAGTGCATGACACTCAGAATATCAGATCAGTGTCTAACCATATGAAACACATTGATGAATAAGGCTTTGAATGGATCAACAAACGATAGATTATGGTTGAAGAGGTTGTTTTTTTGGTTTTTGGTTCTGATGGTTCCCACTAGGAGAACCAAGAAAGAAGAGGCCGAAGAAAAAGATGATTGAAAGATGAAAGAGAAGATGAAAGACGAATTAAACGATGCGAGGACAAATAACGAGAAGAAGAGATAACGAAAAGAAGAAGAAAGGGAGGGGAGGGAAGGGGAAATAGAGGCAAAGAAACGTATAAAAAGTAAAAAAAAATGCTCAAGATCGTTTAGCTTTTTTACGACCTTTGGCGCCTTTACAAGTCTGATGACGATGGCATTTATGAGCATGTTTATACCAAAGTGTGGGGACCTTATTAGAAGCAGAGGCGGGGTCGTCATGGTCGATGATCCAATGACTAGCGGACCCGGGATCCTCGTCGACGAGCTCGGTTCCCAACTGCTGCTGCTGCTGCTGCTGATGGTGGTGGTGGTGGTTTTTCTTGTGGACGATCCCGTTACCAATGATCGAGGAAAAACCGACCCATTCCTCACATTCGTGACACTTCCCTAAGATCTGTTGCCGGTTGGCCGTCGAGAAACCGCGCTTGATCTCCTGGGGTGGATAGAAGTAATGACCGGTAGTCGAACTGACTCCATGGAAATACTGCTTATGATACCTACATTGAACCGGTCTCAGTCTTGATGATTTTTTTTTTGAATGAAAGGGATGGAAGAACTTACCAATAAGCACTATTCTTGAGTCTAAACCAAGCCCCGCCTCGACACATATCGCAAAACCCTTCCTTTTTATCGTTCTGACCGCGACACCACATCGGCGTATAGAGGTCTTCATCGCACCTCAAGTCTTGTTTCCAGGGCACCATCATCTCGCCCGTCTCGTCGACGACCCCGGCCAGATCGAGGCTCGATGGCCTGACCGACCCATTCAAGCCGGGTGGATGGGCCGACCGACCCTGTCCGATCCCTCCAAATCGGGTGAGAGTATACGCCGGACTCGAGCCCCCAGTTGGCTGTCCACATCCTTCCGCTGAGTCTTGACTCTCTTGACTCATCCCTTCCTCGTGTTGTGCGAAGGTAACTTCTTGAAACAGAAGCCCAGTAGACAGATCATCCGATCCGTTCCCAGAGGACTCTTGCTCGGGCTCCTCAGGCACAGCGATTTGAGTGAGCGGGTATTGGTTCTTCATGCTCTTTCGTTTCCTCACTAATCCACCCCGATTGCCTGACTCTGCAAGTGGCTGCTTTTCGGGACTGCTGCTGAGCTGACACTCGACTCGATCATGGTAACCACGGAATGAAGCTGAAGGAGAGGATTGGAGAGCCCCTGCTCCATCAGTATGGCTTTCGGGCCACATAGGTTGGGTCATGACGGTCAATCTCCGAAGACGATTTTGTTGTTGGATCTGCGCTTCTCGGGAGCCGTGCTGGGGAAGAAGCGGAGTCTCAACGGAGGAGCACTGTTGGAATGATTCGGTGAAAGGACTGATGCCCTGTTGTGAAAGGTGCGAAAAATCGACCTGGGTCGGGAAAACCGCGGATGGCGCGTAGGGGGAAATCGAACGATGGGGAAGAGGCGCTAAACCGAACGGAAGTTGCCCGCTTTGTTGTCGGAAAATATCCATGTATTCACTCGTAAACTGCGCTCTATTTGACGCGGTAAACGAGTCAAGGGGTAGAGAGGAATCTGTATGGCTCTCGGAAAGAGTGGCTGCTCTACCTCGTTTTTCGACGGGCTTGGTAACCGCTTGAATGCTATCTGTATCTAAATCAGAGCCAGAAGGCCCGCCTAGTCCGGTAGAGCCCTCCTGCGCTGATGGAGAACCACTGGATTTGGAACGGCAAGAGGGTGACTTTTGATGAGCGGAAGAGTGATCAATAGGGGCAAGAGATACATTATGAGAAAAGTCTAAATTTCCAAAGGAAGCCGCCTGTTCTTCAAAATGTTGTAGAGCCAACTGGGCCCATTGGTCGGAAACCTCGTTGCCAAAGCTGCCGGTTGAGGGAGTATTAAGTTCACCCGAATTGAGCTGAGAGGCCGTGGTAGAAAAACTATCACTATGACGCGAAGAACCCGCGCATGAGGCAGGAAGGTCGTGAAGGGGTTTCAGGGAATCAAAATATTGCGAGTCGCCTTCCAAGGATAGGTGACAGGGAATATTAGCAATCGAATAACGTTGACGGGGATCCCAAGGGCGCTGTGCAATCGGTGCAACAGGTGATGGGTCCGACACACGGCGCGGCTCAGGGTGACAGGGAGCCAGAACAGGTGAATTCTACGAATGCGAGATTTGATTAGTAGTGCCTCTTTCGTTTTCATTGGAAGCGGATGGCGATCATGGTCACTTACCGAGCCCACAAATGGCATGCCGTTATCCATGAAGGATAGGCCGGAATTGGGTTCCATAGATTGCTCCCAGTTATGATTGAAAATCGGCTGGGTGTAGGTATGGGAAGGATCATAGGGGAGGTAGGCAGACCCGGGATTCCATTCTGGGGATAATTGGGTGGGTTGAGCAGCAGGGGGAGGTATGAAGTGGGCAGATGCAGGACTTGTTTGGTTTGAGTTGAGCAGGGAATGTGCAAGATGATGGGACGATGCTGCCAACAAGGCAGGGCTAGGTTGAAAGTCAAGACCAGCTTGTACGGTGGATTGAAGCAGGGAAAGATCCGAGTTCTTGGATGGATAGTCCCACTGCTGAAGGCTGTGACGGTGATGAGGAGTCGCGAAGGGGAGGTCTGACTCCAAGCCATCCGGCCGGGAAGGCCCACCAAAGGCTTGGTTGGCGCAAGAGGAATGAGAGCCGCCAGACAGAATGTATTGCTCGGGGCCAATACCCTCATTTTTCTAAACAGACACACTAGTCAAAAAACGAGGAGCGTCTGAAGATGTGTCAATGAAATACTTACGATAACTAAGTCGGCCTCCTTATAAGAAGACTCGAGCAGCTGCTCTTGAGCCGAGTGGCTCAGAGCTTGGAAGCAAGTTGGAGCATCTCCCCATCCGGCAAGGAGATTGTAAGCAGCATCGAGTGTCGGGGGCGGCTCGGAAGCATACTGGGATTGGAGGAATGCCGAGGAACAGTTATAAGGCAGACGGGAAGGAACTGAGGAAACAGTGGCTCGGCGGCCGGCCGCGGCAGGACGCACGGGCAGCTGCTGTGGGGAGTGGATGAGATAAGAGGGATGGTTGGAGACGGGGTAGGGCCGAGTGGAGGAGTCATGTGGGAGACCAGCAGGGATTGAGGGATGGCTGACGAGGTAGTTGCTCAGGAAATTGCTGTAGTCACTCGCAGGATAGAGGAGTGCGGCCTGATGATCGAAGCTCGGTTGGCCGTCTGGCGGCTTAGCCAAGCATGACCGGGTGGGAGTCAGCGAGCCATCAAGCGCGTTGCAAGGCTCAGCCGCGACACTGCCATGACCAAGCCATTCGTGCTGCTCTTGGTCTTCCGATTGACAGGATGATGGCTGATGGGTTTGCTGCATGCCGTCAACGAACATGGTCAAAGATTTAAAAAAAAAAAAAAGAATTGAGGGTGATCGATTGGATTTTGGCTGTACTGCGACCCGAGTTAGCGGCTGATGGAAGATCGAGTAAGGCCTTCGAAAGCCAGATGGATGACTCAGTCCCTAGCTGGTGGCGTGATTTTTTGGGCAGGGAAGAAGAATGAAAAAAAGGGGGAAAAGGAACAAGAGGCGAGAAAGGTGATGCCGGGGGGATGTCTCTCTGGCGGGATAGGTCGATGTCTTATGCTCAGTTGCCTTGTGACGGTCCGAGTAACAGCCACGTGCACGGGTTGGCTGATGGCAGGACTACTGCTGGCTGATGAAATCCAAGTGGGAAGAGATTTCAAGGAAGCTGTCGAAGATGGAGGACTGAAGGAGATGGTAGAAAGACGCAGTTTTGAAGGATGGGTGTCCGGCTGGCTTCCGCTGGTATTTCTTTCCTTCCGCGTTCTCTCAAAGGGCTTCTTAGCAAGGTGCTCGCTCACCAAGCTCAAGATCGAGCTCATTAGCTGCTAAAGTGCCATCAGCCCGTTTGACTGGATGGCTGGTCCTTCCTGGATCTTACAATTCTGGCAGCCATTTCATTTTTAATTCTACTAAAGCTTCTCTTTCTTTCTCTCTCTCTCTCTCTCTCTCTCTCTCTCTCTCTCGGCGGTCATCGAGCTGGCTTAGAAGATCAGAGCAAGAAAGTCTGTAAGCACTAAATGACTCAGCGGGGCCTGTCCAGCCCCAAGAAAACAGGAAGGTCCTGGATCAGCGGCTGGCTGACTGACCCGTCAGTCTTGAGGATCGGAAACGGGCTCCAGCTGTCTCCGATCAGCCCTGCTCTGAGGCTGAGCTGACTGACTAATTAGTAGACCCAGCGAGGGCGAGTACAAATGAGCTTGGTCAGGGGGCGATTTCCAGAGTGAAGAAGGCGATGCGGCTAGTCGGTCCTGCCAATGGCCAGTTTAAAGCTTGGCCATTCAGCACGCTCAGGAGATCCCGGTGATACATAAATAGATTAAATCCAACGGCCACCGCACTCAGCTTACCCCACACCCTGGACAAGGACCCCCGCAGGAAGCACTGCTTGAGGAGGATGCCAACCAAGGAGCATGCTCGTGAAGACAGCCAGTTTCCTACCATTTGACCGGCCAGATATTGTCCAATGGTCGTCTTTTAGCATGATGACTCGTTCTGCTAATGGCACGGCTTGCACGCGTGAAAATCCCCTCATTTGGGGCCGGCCGGGTCGGCCATCCGGGAGGAGGGGGGAGTCCAATTTAACATTCTCGGCCCGCTCCGGCTCCTGTTTTCCTTCATCCCCGGAACCAGCATGGGATGAAGAGCGGTCTCCAAAGCGTTCATCGTGATGACTGCCGGATTCAAGCACGATTTGCAGAGTGCCGACCCCGGATCTGAACTCGGGACCCGGCTAGCTGCCTGATAGGCGATTGCATGCTCCGCGTTCCGACACACAATCCAAATCGCAGTTTGTTTGTTTTTCGTCTCTCGCTGCTCATTGTGCACAACGAATCCTCAAAGGAATGAACGACTTGAGTCCGGCCAGTACCCAGTATCTTCTTGCACAAACGCTCTAGCGAACAAACACGTACAAGTTACACCCCCATGTAGTCCGCACACACCACTTGTGCACAAAGAACAATTTACGAGTAGGATGTTAAAACAACCTTATCAACGATAACCAACCAAAGTTAGGTCTAATATAAACTGTTTTATCTCCCACTATCTACAGCTATCTACGGTGTAGCCACGCGCAAGTCTCCCTTTAGAATCCTTCACCATCATATGTATGACGGCGAAAAGTCTATGTAGCCCGATCAGCAACTGTCCATGGTGTAGAACATTCTGGGCCGGAGGGCAACTTCTCTTGGATCCACATCAGGGGTCTATGTACAACACCGTCCGATTGTGCCCTTCCTTGAGACCAGAGGCCAAAGGATCGCTCCACCTCAACACCTCTCTCTTGGGCGCACATATTGCGGGTCAGTCTTACACGATTATCGATTTGCTTGGCTCTCCTGCCTGATTCCCATCGTCAGCTCCTTGGCCATAACAAGCTACAAATCTCAACGAAAATTCGATTCGAATCTTGTCGTCAAGTCATCGTTGACCAAGCTCAGTTACGCCATCGAAGTTTAGATTCAAACTCTTCCCTTAACTCAATGTTTGTTATTTCCTTCTCTCTCTCTCTCTTTAGATAATAGTACAGAGACGGATTCACGAGTGATCATCCCTAACGGATTGTTCTTGCACTCTTTTCCACGCCTTTAGGGTGACATTCAACAATGCGATCGTCGGAGCGGAACGAACGAAGGAAAACGGAGTGTCGAGGGGACGCAGGATCACCTTCACCTCCGAGATTGAAGCCTCTCGGGGGGTGACCCAGATGAACCTGCATGAAGCCGACATCAATCTGAGAGTGCTTGGATGGTCTGAGGGTACGACCCTGTGGATTCGGGCCCGGATGGGCAGCAAGCGGAACGTCTTCTGGACAATCGCCTCCGACAACGAACTGCTCCGCTTCCTCGTCGGATCTTGGGCTCACGACTGCCAGGAGTTCTTCTTCGCGCTTCGACCAAAGGGGCTTCCTCCGCCGCAAACCATCAGGGTCTGATCCTCCTGCGAATCCTCTCGCTATGCTTAGCTCGACACCAATAGCTAAATAGCGATCCAGTTGATAACTGAGGTGGTGTCTTTGAGGAGAGGTAATTCCCGTGTGTTTCTCAACTAAAGTCGTTATTTAATGGTAGATTTAACCAAAAATTCAAGTAAGAATACAGAAGGAGCGGTCTAGTGTAAATCAGATTCTGGCCCATTATATCCTAAAGCTAATACAAACCTGACTGAATACAAAGAATAGATTCCATTGCTCAAGAAGTGGATTCAAGGTATATAAGCTCCTTCATGTCATATATAAGCCTTATCTTGCCTTGTGTATAAATCATTGGCTTTGGGTTCAGTTAAGCTAAGCTAGGGATTCAGATTTTTCAATTACCAAACAAAAGGAGATATAAGAGAAGCCCACTTGGATTGAAAGAAACTGGCTTTCAAGTAGGAACAGTAGAATAAAAACAAACCACCTGAAATTAAGATGTGGATATGGTGATGAACAACACCCCAGATGTTTCACCAAGAAGTGTCAAAAGAAAATTTGGTTGACCAATAAAGCAATAACACTTGAAGGCATGTCATTAGTTTTTCTATTGTTGAAAGGATGGGGGTTAGAGGGCTGGCTAATAGAGCAGATCTGGGATAGATTTTCTTTTTGTGTGTGGTCCAGAGAAACTTAACGAGGAGTGATAAAACCTGTGAGCTTGTTGCCATTAGAATTCAATAGGGACGTGCCAACAAGTATCTGCACCCTGTGCATGCACAAAAATGGGTGGGTGCAAGTCAAAGGATAGTAGTAAAAGGAGTGTGTGGATGTTCAAGTGACAGACACATAGAAATGCACATAAATAAGAAAACTAGTGCAGGTAGCAATCACTCTGCATGATCCCAGCTGGGAAAACTAGCCAGCTTGTTTCCTCTGAGGTGAGAAGGTGAAAGGCCCTTGGGGACATCCACAGTATAAGAGGAAGGGTCCAAAGCCTCTGCTACCTCAGCATAGACATTTACATAATCTTGCTGGCAAAAAAAGGCATTTCAATGTCAGTCTCTAGTGGAAGTGATTGACCTCAAAAGAATAAAAGACTGCTATACAGAATTTGATTGTGACTCTATGGGTATTTGGTTTTGTTCAGTGTCTTTTATTTTGTCAAGCTTTAATTACACTCAATCTCAAAAAAAAAATGTTTTATTTTTGCATGGTGACTAGGGTGGGCAACTTGTGCTTTCAAGCCTGTCATGTGTGTCAGGACCTATCCCTGCTCATTCAAGCATTCACCAACTCACATGGTTTTCTTGATACTGGAAAAATCCCCTGATTCAGCCTTGCTCTCTTTTTGAATCAGAATTTGGAGGTGAATCAAATCGTAGATGCTCAGATTATGAATGCACAACCCATTTTTACAAAATGATTACCTTGATGGAAGGTTGAGTTGTCCCTTCAAAATACAGTAATTTCATGTGGGTGTCAATGTCAAAATCCAAAGATTTATGATCCTGTGAACAGGGAGAATCAATTGAAGATATCCCTCTATCATCTGGCCTATCTTGAAAGAAGCCTGGAGGAATAAGTTTGTTGGTTTATTGAAACAGAGTTAGTCCTTTTTGAAGAAACTAAGCAGTTTTGATTTGGATGTATCACAACTCAGAGCACACATTGAAGGTCCCAGGAAGTGCTTTTAATGTACGGTTCAAGTTCTTCTTACAGTGAACCTGACTGGGTGCACAATGTAAGCACAGCATATGATGATTGATTTCCAGATACCATTTTCTTGGTTTTGCAGTGAAATTAAATCAGTAAGAAGTATGTCTATATGTAACCATAGGATTTGTGTTGAAAACTGTGACACTTACATTTCAGGGCCACTGTATGATATACCTACTTCTATACCACACAAACAAATGGAAATATGTACCCTAGTAGGTGACATAATGCACACAGAGAACAAAGTTATACAATAGGGATGTTCAAAGCTACCCATCAATCCATAGACATAGAAACATGAATGGATTTTGTCTGGGACATGTTTACACACTCCCAGTCAAACCTATTCAGAATTGATTTTTATTAGTAGAGATGGTTGCGGGGTATCCATTGCGGATACCCGCTATTTGCTGGTGGATACCCTCCAGTGCCAATGGATACCCTCCAGGGGGTGCGGACTCGGCTCCAGATGGCCATTTCCCCCCCCCCCAAATCTGGCAGATATCCGGGTATCCCGAGGGACACCCAAGGCCAATAATAGTATGAGTGGCCAACTGGAAGGATTTCCCTCCAGTCAGCAAGGATGTACCTTGCTGGCTGGAAGGAAACCCTTCCGTTTGACAAGGTACATGTACCTTGCCAACTGGAAGAAACGGTACATGTACCTTGCCAGCTGGAAGGGATTTGATCAGTGACCTCACTGATATTTGACTGGAAGGTTCCTTTTCAGTCTTACAAAATGCACTTGAAACTGCTTGGCAACCTGTACTAGCCTTCTCTAGTTTTTTGCAGGTTGGACCATTCATTGATTCAATTAAGGGACTAGTAGTAGTCATTTCAGGCCATATTGCATTCCAGAGCAATTCCAAAACACTTCATGGGCAGTTTCTAATAGAGATGGTCGTGTTGGATCCGGATATCCGCTGACAATTTCAGCGGAATCAGGCATCTGCATCCGCTGGCGCTGGCGGGTATCCGCGGATATTCGCCCTCTTACTGGTTGACGCCGGCGAGGGGGATTTTTTTTACAAAAAACAAGAAAAGAACAATAACTGGCCCCCCTTGGCCTAGAGAGGAAAGGCCACGCCGCCGGGAGGAATCCCTCCCGGCGAGCTGGTGTAGTGTGTACATACCAGCTCGTTGGGAGGGGTTCCTCCTGGCAAGCTGGATTTCAAAACAAGGTTGTCAGGAGGAGTCCGACTCCCTCCCGGCGAGCTGGTATGTACACCAGCTCGTCGGGAGGGATTCCTCCCGATGAGAGCACCAGCTCGCCGGGAGGGGCTCCTCCTGACAAGCTGGTTTAAAATCCGGCTTGCCGGGAGGAACGCCTCCCGACGAGCTGGTATGTACACCAGCTCGTCGGGAGGAATCCCTCCCTCCCGGTGAGCTGGTATGTACATCAGCTCGTTGGGAGGGATTCCTCCCAATGAGAGCACCAGCTCGTCGGAAGGAATCCCTTCCGACGAGCTGGTCTGTGTACCACCTCGCCGGGAGGAACCCCTCCCGACAAGCTGGTCTGTGTACCAGCTCTCCGGGAGGAACCCCTCACGGCAAGCTGGTCTTTGTACCAGCTCGCCGGGGAGGGATTCCTCCCGACGAGCTGGTGTACATATCCAGCTTGCCGGGAGGGATTCCTCCCAGCGGCATGGCCTCTCTAGGCCGAGGGGGGGCAGTTTTGTTTCCTTTTCTTTTTTTTTTGTAAAAACAATTTATCCTCTTCACTGTCTTGGCACCGGGTATCCCAAGGGATACCCGGATATCCGCCAGGATTTTGGGGGGAAAAGGACATCCGCACCCAAATCCGCACCCGCTGGCGGGTATCCGCCAGAGAATAGTGGATATCCGCAGCAGATTATCCGCGACCATCTCTAGTTTCTAAAACTACAGCACTAGCATCAGCCAGCAATTGTCTTAGTACTTTTTCAATGATTCCAAGTCCACTCCCTGATTCAATCTGATATTTGGATTGTTGACCATGAAAATCCAAAAAATCTTTAATTTTAGAAACACTGGTAATGTGTGCTTTGACAAGGTACATGTACCTTGCCAACTGGAAGTAAACCCATCCAGCTGGCGAGGTACAGTGCCCTCCCAGATGTATCTACCCAATTTGTTTGGATTACACAACCCTAACCCACCAACTTGCAATCATGAAACTTGATCAACACCAGAAATTATTTGGACCTCAGTATCCAGCTCAAAACACAAGTTGAATTTGATAGCACTGCCTCCTCCACTGTTTTTTCCAATGTGAGACTGATGAATGTCTCCCTCCACACCAGTTTAAAACCATCTGGTAGTTATTTTATCATAATTTTAATTTATTATCATTTCTCCAGCATACCATACTCCAAGTTCCAATTTTTATTTTTTCCTTTGGAGCAATATTGAGACTTTTGAAAAAAGTGCAATAATTGTAATATTTTTTTGCAAAATTTAAAAATCAGTTTTTCATATTTTTGCTTTCAAAATCATTTTTTGAAACCTCTTTTATACCACTTGCCCAAGTCTCATGATTGCAACTTGGTGGGTTAGGGTTGTTTAATCCAAACAAGTTGGCTATATACATCTGGGAGGGCACTGTACATGCTGGCTGGAAGGAAATCCTTCCAGCTGGCGAGGTCGTGCCTTGTTGACCATTTAAAGGGCAGGTATCTGAATATACCCACTCGGATACCCAGTAAGGTGGGGGATACCTGCCGGCGGATGCAGGTGCAGATGCCTGTTTCCCTAGAAAAAGCAGCTGGATATCCGGATGCAAAGGGGCCATCTCTAATTTTTATGAATTTATGTGCTCAACTTTGAACACCACTAACGTGTGTGTACATTATTCAAAGGACATGTTATGACTCAATGGATGTAATTAGATTTTTGTAATTATGACTGGTGTGAAACCCACCCTCAGACAGGTTTCACAAGAAGTTCACATCATTACATAATCATAGATTCTACAGAATATTTAAGTCCTGCGTTCCCGTTCCCCTCCTAGCTCAGTAGAGACCATCTAACATTCTTCACTACTGAGCTAGGTGAGTATTTCTTTTATATTTCTTTTTCATATAATTGTTTGATTCTTATTGTACAGTAGAGACCATCTAACATTCTTCACTACTGAGCTAGAAATAACAATACACAGCGGTTCTAGAAAATTGGTCTCCCAAAGCATTTAGCTTTGTTCTAGAACTCCATCCAACGGACAGTGAAGGATCAAACAGGATCCTTACAGCTGGGACCTCCTAAATACATCATTCCTATTTTTCAGGTTTTCAAGATTGAGGATGCAATTGGAAGGGTGTGGAAAATGCCACACATCCTGCCTGGGGATTATTTACACTGTTGTAATTTAGTCTCTTTTCCTTTCCTCTCTTCTAATTTTCTTACTTCTGCCTCTTGTCTTGAATGATCAATAGGATCAGTTTAGAATGATCAATAGGATCTACTCCATAACCACTATGATATCTCATCTTTTTTAGTCTGACTTATCTCCCTGTTATGAATTCAAACCCCCTAGCTTGTAGTATTAGAACCCTGACTAAGGAGGGCCTAATTTCTCTCATGTGTGTCTGCTTATCTACTAGGTTGTAGATGGTTTGTTTCTGGTGTTGGCTGTTGTACACTCTTCTTTGTTCTAGATTATTCCTTTTGTTTCTATTCATTTCTTATTATTCATTATTCTTCACAACCACAGCTCAAACTCCTGTATCTAGTCTATTTAACCATGCCTAGAACAAGAAATTAAAAATCATCGGTTCTCCTCATAACCTGAGTCTGACCACTTTTTTGCCCTTCAAAAAGTGACACCTGATTCCGTTCAAACCTTCACTTCCTCTCTCTGCTCAGAATTCTCACATACACCCCATGCAATGTACATGAGGTAGATGAAGTTCTACTTCCCTCTCAGAACATTTTCATGCCTAAACTTTTTTTTGTAAACTTGCCTGACAACCCCTTTTTGAATATATATTCTTATTTCTATCAAGTGCAAAAGATAGTCTTAGTCTGCTGCCCGGCCCAACTCAGTCACTGCCAGGGAGTTCTATGATTTCAGAACAACCAGGAACTTGCGGGCAAAATCAGAGCTTGGAAGTTGGATTAATGATTGCATATTGCTTTTGAAACAGGTTTGGAAACTGATTGAGCTATCAATTTGCTATAAAAAAATGAATTTCAAACCACTTTCAAAAAAAGTTCAAAGTTCTCTTAATTTCCAATTGATGCCTTAAACTAGAATCAAATAGGGAAGTTCACATAGCAGCCAGTCCTTTTCTGGTCTCAAAAAAGGTTTGTTTGCTGATGTACAAACTTGATCATGAACTTTAATTGTGGGATTTCAACTCCCAAGGGGAGCCTCCCACCAAACTCTTTTGCTTCCCCATAAAACTTATAAAAGAGCCATTCTAACAAAGTTTGAATGCTGATGGTCAACATCAGCAGTAAGTGAACTGCCCTAATGCAGCTGTGTGACTGCACCTGAAGGGCACCAGGCCTGAAGTTTTTGCTCATGGTTCATGAAGATCTTGACTGAGCACTAAGGAAAACTAGGTATTGATCCATTGAGTCATTTTGGCTGGATTGGTGCCAACACAGAAATAAAACCAGTTTTGGCTTTGCAAGAAGCATACTGCATGACCTATAAGAATCTCAACATGATTCAGATTAGCCCAGTTTACAATGGCCCATCATCAGCAAAAGTTTTAGCTGGAATCAGCAAATCATCAAGATGTAAAAACACATCCATTTTTGACTGTTTTAATGTTCAGAGTCCCCCAGAGTATTCCAGATCCATCCAAAAAGAATTTTTCTATGTGCAACTTTCAATAAGATGATCAGCCATTGGAACTGGCTATTGTGAACCAGGCTGTTAGGTCATCCATCAAGTCCAAAACAAATTGCTCTCTAAATGTTTATTTTACGGTCAGCATGGCAGGATAATGGCTTAGCACATAGATTCTGTGGTATGGCTGTTATGCCGTTTTTTGGAATGATCCAATTTGTATTGAAGTGAACAAAAAAGCTAATGATTACCATCTTTTTGACATTGTCTTATTAGACGACCTTTCTTCAGATGTGTGGGAAACAGCTTCGAGAAACAGCCATGGTTTGGTTTTGCCTATGTTTACAGCTGAAGCATCAAGAAAATGACTGATTCAGACCGATTCTCTGAAGGAGATAAGGAGATAAGGATGTTGAGGAAGATTGCGTATTTAAATGGAGGCGGAAGGTTTATGCAAAGTGGGGCTGTATGAGTGGAACGTCGGAGCCGACACGCGAGATTGGAGATGGCCCAATCAGCGTGCAGCAGCAGCACCACATCACCGAGGCGGACTTGGCAAAGAAGAAGTCAACCCCAGGAACAACCATCATCAAACATGACGCCGAAAAACTGAAAGCTGGGCTCACACAACCATCAATCCTTACTATTGAGCCATAACAACCGATCGACCGAGCGGACTACCCAGTGCTCGATCCTGTCACTGACATTACTTCAGAATGGGTTCGGCTTTCCTCACTCTTTCACAGCACATACATTCATAGATCTGTCTGACACCCATGTTATTGACTATAATTCTGATATTCAAAACTTGCAGGCATTCCAAAGGTGCGGGACCCGCCGATCTGAGCCGTTTCCATCTCAAGGATTTTATCTTCTCAAGCTGATGACCCGAAATACATAAAAAAAATTGCACTTTCTTCCACACCGGCATCGGGACATGATGGACCCGACAGTTCTTCAGATGGATGACCCAGAAATACCCTGTTGTACTGCACCAAGTCATTCAAGGCGATTGTATACCCGAGATTGGTGAGTAAACTGATCACTTTGGCTTATTTCCCTCAGCATGCCCACCACTGGAATTACTGTACCTGTGATGGATTTGTATGGTTGCTGATCGATCGGGTTTCGGTCGGCTCTTTCAGATAATCTTTACTTGGACATGAATGGCATCATTCATAATTGCAGCCATCCTAGTACTCCAACTGCCGATTTTCAAATGTGATTATTGTTTCTTTTCATTTTCTTAATTTCTCGATAAATCTCTTCTTTTCTTGAATATAATTCGGGACCCATAATTCAAACCATTCTCATCAACTTTTTGCCTAACATTTGGTGATTTTTTTTTTCTTGTATTCACTAGAACGGAACCGGAAATCTTTTCGGGCATATTCGCAGCTCTGGAACATCTTTTTACGCTAGCCAAGCCTAAAAAATTATTCTTTATGGCCGTCGATGGTGTTGCGCCCCGGGCGAAAATGAACGAGCAGGTTTGAAGCCGGTTTTTTTTTTTAAACATTTTCCTCGACTGGGTTTTTTAGTGATTGAAAGTCGGTTGTAACATGCTTATAAACTCTCGTGACCGATCGAACTGCGTTGATTTATAGCGCTCTAGAAGATTCAAAGCTGCTCAAGCCAACCAGACTATGCTTCAGAGAAATGCATTCCGACGATTCCAAACGGTCTCAAATAGCTTTGATAGCAATTGTATCACTCCTGGTTCGTAATCAAAAACAATTTGTCTCTATTTCAATCAGTATTGGGATTCGTATTAACAAATTCACGTTTTGCTCGGTTTAGGTACCCCTTTTATGGCTCGACTACACGAGCAATTGAAATATTTTATCAATAAGAAAGTAACCGAGGATCCTGCATGGCAAGCAGTACAAGTGATTTTCAGTGGTCACGACGTTAGTTTCCCCCTTCGTTGCTGAATTGCCCAGCTTTTGGAGACCATGATTACGATCTAATAAGCTTCCTAATCCATGTCACCCACAAATGCTAATTGGTCACAGGTACCCGGAGAAGGCGAGCACAAAATCATGGAATACATTCGACGGGCGAAAACTCAACAAGATTACAGTCCTCACATTCGCCATTGTATTTATGGATTGGATGCGGACCTGATCATGCTGGCTCTACTATCCCATGAGCCCCACTTTTGTCTATTGCGAGAGGAAAATAGAGCGCCTCTCAAGAGAAAGCCCACCATCAACTTGAAGGACCAACAGTTCCACCTCTTTCAAATCTCGCTATTTCGCGACTACCTTAATTGGGAATTTTCAAGCTTACAATTGATCAAAAACTTCAAGTATGATATCCGAAGAATCATTGATGATTTTATTCTGTTATGCATCTTTGTCGGGAACGATTTTTTGCCTCACCTTCCAAACCTACACATCGACGATGGCGCGATAGGAGTGTTGTTTAAGATTTACAAAAAGATTTTGCCCCAGGCTGGCGGATATCTGAATGATTCCGGTACCCTTCATACCCACCGATTACAACTCTTGCTAGACGAGCTGGTTTCGCACGAGTATCAACATTTCGAGACTTCAACAGGAAGTAACCAAAAGTGTGTAGGGATTCCTGGGACTAACTTCCCCCTGAATGACACTCAGCGCGCTCTCGTGGATCGGGTTGAAAGCTTTTTCAGAACACACACCTATTCCCCGAACAAATGGACTGCAAAGTTGGTCCTCCCAGGATGTTTGGATCGTCAAGATAGAAACGTACTCAGGGATTTGGCCGACAAACTTGATCTTTGGATTTCTTTTGACAATGATCCGGATACCCATGCGCCTCTGATCAGTTTAGGCTTCTTTCAAGATGATTTACTGTTGACCGATCCGGTGGTTGATGCGGTACACGGAATCTTGCGAGATTTGCAGGGCAATGGAACCTCTCAACCTGAGACTCCCACTCAGATCCATACCCTAGACTCTTGCACCGAAGAAATCCTCAGAAAGATCAAGCGAACACCAGGCAACTGGGGCATGTATGGCCGCAAACCACCTAAGCAATCCGACGACGATGATTTCCATGCTTACCTGAAACAATGGAAATCAAAGTATTATAAAGTCAGCCAGACACCTAAAGCAGTCCGTCTAATATCAAACCATTTGATGTAGCGTTGATAACAAACCAGGGGTTTTGTTTGTTCTGTTTTTTTTTTTTTTCAGAACAAGATGGAATTGCAGTATAATGATTCTGTCCAACTCCATAAACTAACTCATGCGTATGTCGAGGGTTTACAATGGATTTTACAGTATTACTATACAGGTGTAGCCTCCTGGAGTTGGGCTTATCCTTACCATTATGCCCCCATGGTGTCCGGTGAGATTTGATTAGTTTCACCTCTGACTGATTTCACTGAAAACTAATCACATATGTACTCGTATGTCCGCAGATCTAAACAAAGTGGCATCATACAAATTTTCATTCGAACTTGGTAGTCCATTCAAGCCATTCGAACAACTAATGGGTGTTCTTCCTGGCCTGAGCTCAACTCATGTCCCGTCTGCATTTCAAGTGTGTTCACTTCATGAGCATTGTCAAGCTATGTTGTGACAATGCTCATCCGTATCCAACCACCTTGAAATTTGAATTCAGGACTTGATGACCAAGCCCGATTCGCCGATCCTCGACCTATACCCGACCAGCTTCGAGACCGATCTCAATGGCAAGAGGCACGAATGGCAAGCGATTGCCAAGATACCATTTATTGACTCGAGACGGCTTTTGGAAGCCATGAAAGGTCAGTCCAGAACCCCCCCGGATCGACGTCAGACTCTTATCATTCCTGATCTGTATCCACTTGAACAGCTCATGAGTACAAACTCAAGGACGAAGAAATCGAGCGGAACCGGTTTGGACCCACATGGCAATTCCGATACACACCCCTTTCACCCACCTATTATCGATCCCTCCTCCCCAGCTATTTCCCGGATCTTTATCCCTGTCTGTCCGAAATGACCGTCTATCATCTCCCTACCGTTCCTCAAAAAATCCTTGGTAGACTCAAGGAAACAGACGAAATCGCCAAGAATATCGAAAAGTTGATGGCTCTTTGTCTATGAATAACTGCGCGTCATCATCGATGAACACTCCAGAAGTGTACATTAACTTACTGAGAAAGTATTATTATAGGATACCCAAAGATTAGTGCGAAACTATTTTTTGAAATAACCAAACATTATCATTTTTTTTACAAAAAAAAAAAAAGAAAGCATAAGTATTCCATGTTGTCAGTCTCACATCCGTACAATCTAAAGTATCATAAAGAAATTTGAGTGCGGCACTGCCTATACAATTCTTCGGCTACATGAGGCAGTTTGCGCTAGTGTAGAAAATGGGATTAGTGTGGTTCCTAGAGTGAGGGGCTTGAGCAATTTGCAAGATGTGAAGGCTGCACTGGAAGAAGCACCCAACCCAGAAAAAGAAGAGACGGGTTAGGGTGGATTTGTAGGGGGGATGGTAGATGTTCAAAGTACAAATAAGGCATGTAGTGGTTGGCAATACACTACAGAGCCTCAGGTTTTTACAGATGCCAAACAAGACAAGGACTTTTTATTCGGATGTTCATCCTTTCTTCCCTCTTCCCTCTAAACTTAACTGAATCCATCCAGGGCGCGAAGCACTGACCTTCTAACCCAGTTAAGTTTGCATTTTCCTCCACCTCATTCAAGGGCCCTGTCGCCTTCTATGATATTTGTCGATGGATGATGTGGAACATCCTTAAATAGCTCCGAAACTCATTTTTCCATCTCCCACGTGTCTCCTATAATAAAGCGCCTGCAACACATGTCCCGAAACTCTTTTGAAGGTTTTAGGTGTTCCATAAATACATCGCATCAAATGACAAAACAAGACAAGACAGAAGTGAAGCTTGGATCTGCTGATTGATCCCCTGATCCACAGTGCACAACCCTTCAAGTTGGGAAGTTAAAGCGGGTTATCTACTGGATTCATGTTGGAGAAAGCTCAATTGTAGCTTCACGTGCACAGATTCTTGTAGCAGGTGGAACTTGCAGAAAACTCTTGCAGCTCCGACTTACAACACAATACGCAACAACATGTCCATTGATGCATTATCCTTCATCGATTACTCCTCACGGCATTTCCTCATCTGCCCTCCTCCCCCCCAGTTGAACTCATTCCGATGACCAGACCACCCAGTGTATATAATGGTAGGAAAGAAATATCACGTCTTGATGTATGTATTTTTGCACACACTCCGGCTCTCTATCCCTGATCCAAAACAACCTTGATTGTCTCTTCACGCTTGCACTGCATACACATTAACATGCATGAATATCTGCAGGTTCCGCCGAGGTGGAGTTCCAAGTGGAGGCCCTGCTCGACTCATATGATGATATGGATGGAAATTTGGATTCGAATGGATAATGAAAAAAAATGATGCAAAGCACCTTAATCAACTGCTTTCATCATCATCACGTACGCCACCATGGCCCTGGACAGTCCTATCAGGCTATCCTCGCGCGTTCCTTGCACTTTGCGGATTTTGACTCTTTCGGTCATAATGCCGGACCGGAAAAACTTTTCCACCTTGGTGAATCTGTACAATCATCAACAATGCGCTTCTCTCAATTGACTCGGCTCCAGTAACTCATCACAATGATATGCTTTGTACCCTCTCCGCCGGTTCAGTTGTCGGCTTGTTTCGGCAAGGGCTAATATGTATAGCGTATCTTTTTTTCCCTTCAAGCCGGCTTTTGCTATTCATCTTCTCTTATTGAGAAATTTCTGGTCTCGATTGCGTCGGTTTCTTCATTTCCTCACTCAACTTCAGTTTTAACTCCTTCAATCCTATTATAATGCCTTCATGTTGGGTTTGAATGTTTACATTAGATTATTTGTGTTTCCATTTCTTTCTTCTAGCGGTACATATATATCTAAACCCCACCACATAGAATGTCCCCTCCTTTAATTTCTTCTGTTTACTTCTCGTCATTCACATTTCCCCACTCCATTTGTGCGCTTGTCTCATTGAGCTTCTGATCCAGCCAAGCCAATTAAATCACAGGTTCTGTTTCATCAGTCAAGAACCAGCTCAGAATTCGCGCTTGATGATCAGGCGTGTACTATATGCAGTATATGTGGGTAATACGTAGGTATTTTGAACTGTTGAAAGGACCATATCAGATCTACAATTCTTGAACGATGATGATGCTGATCATCATGATAACATCTTTTGTAATCTGAGCTCCCAACTGTGGTGGCCTCAACCTCCTCGACCCGCCTCGACTCACTTTTGTCGCGTCTTAATGAGGATCTGATTTCTCATGTGACTTGCCAGGTCTATCAAACTTGGATGTAGTGCGTAAACAAATCTCCAGCAGCATTAAAACGATACATACAACAACAACAACAACAACTTACAACTGCGACAACAAACCTTGTTTGTGTGCCGTTTTGTTTATTTGCTTTTATTTCTTCCAGGTGGCTCCCCCCGGGCATGAATCTGCTGATGGACTCATCCGAGCACACACAAGTGATCAGACGCCCAAAAACTCACTGCAGCTGTAAAATTTGCATCCTTTTTTTGCATTTTGGAAAGAACAACCCGGGGCCACATGGAGTCTAGACTTTGATCGACGCTCCCGGAGTTCGGTGGCAGGCATAAAATTTTCTGTCCACGGAGCACTGAAGGAGTAGATAAATAGGACTTACCTTTACGTATTTTAACCTAACAAACCCCCTCTATGCTCTTGGCTGAAGGAGCTCCTCCTGCGACGGACACCAGAAGAAATCTCCTTTCTCAACTGAAAGCCTGAAACCGTGTGAGTGCAGATCAGGTTACTTGAATCCGCCCATACTCCTACAATAACCAAACCCTCTTCGCTCCAAAGCAAGACTACAAACAACCATAATTTTGCAACTGCTTCTTGCAAATCTACGCACCAGGCGTCAAGCAAATGCCCTCGATTCTTTAGGCGACCCACTGATACCGTCCCCAATATGCTTATCTGGGCGGTGTCCATGACTGTACCCCCCCCCCTTGTCCTTTATTATACAATATTTATATTCATCTTTTTGCTTGGCAATGTAGGCCCTGCATGGCTTGCTTCACCAGTTTCACGAGTCACAATCAAAAGATAAACAAGGACTGATGGAACATTGGGTTATCTCAGGATTATGATGTGCTAAAGGTTACCCTATCCTACGGGTTTCCTTTTGGTGCAAGTATGCAAACAGTTATACTCTTTCTGCATCCTTGCACACGCTTGTGGCAGTACACCCATTTCTTAATGTTTTCCACTGGGTGACCTCAACCTCTGACGCCCTATATCTGAGATGTTAACCCTGTTCAGACGTCATTATGGGCCTGGTAGCGGGTGTGGCAGGGGGCTATGTATGCCCACTCTTACGATCATCAGTCGATTCCTCCAGTTTTCATCATCTCACAAACATCCGTCAAAATCATATCCACCCCACAGAACAGAATATCTATTATATAAAGAAAACAAAAAGAACAGAAGACAGAGAACATGAAAGCAACTTCCAAAGTTTGGTCATTCTGGTACACATCCAACAACGTCGAGTAGTAGTACTCGAAAGCTGCTGTCATTGAAGATCCCAATCTGATTTACAATAGTTTATATTCATCTTCAATTTTTTTTGCCACTTCTTCTTCCGGGTGGACTTGTATAGTGCATTCAACTCGGATCATTTTCAATCCTACGCCGATCAGCCGTGACAGAGAGAGAGATAGAGAAAGTGGTAGTCCTTTGAATCTTCACTCACGTGCACACTTCACCGGACTCCTCTCGTCCATTTCTTTAGCTTGGTCCTTGTCGATCGCTTCTGTTTCAGGATTCGCCGCACTGTTCAAAAAGAAAGCTCTTGATGTAAGAGAAAAAAAAACAATAACAATATATTCTCCGGTCCGCTTCTGACAGTTACTTCAGTTGCGGGCATACTGCATACACACTTAACAACAACCATAATCCTATACGCTCCGGTTCATCACAGCAGCTTCCTGTTTGCCCCAGAACTCCAAAATATATTAGGAAATTTAAATATCTATACTCTTCTCCGAAATCTTCTCCCCGAGTCCACAGTTGTATCATTTTTTATCCTCGGTAAGCTCAAGAAGAGCAGATCCCTGACAAAGATAACCCTCCTGTTTTTTTCCCCATAGAATTTGGAAAATAACTCCATCCAGCCTTGCCACTTCCCATCCCTCCTAGTCAAAATACTCTGGCCTCTTCGAAAAAAAATAAAAATGGTTCCGACGTGCTCAAGTTCAACTGTCATCACTCCGACCCTCAACCTTCAACTTGATTGTCGTGTGGCCCGACCCAACCTAAAGTCCGAAACCCCGGTCCGCATCAGCTTGGCTTGCATGACCTGTCGGTAGGTGGCAATTTTCTTTCTCCAATTATTTTAATGGGAGAGAAAAGAATGAACTTGTGTATCTTCGGTTACATCATTCTTTTTTATCTCCGAAAGACTAGTTCATTTTTTTTTTTCCTTCTCTTCCCGGGTGGTCCATGCCGCTGCTTACACTGGCAACCTTTTTTTTCTCACTTCCTCCCCCAGATCACGTAAGGTTCGCTGCAATGGAGAATCGCCCTGTAGTTCTTGTCTTGCCTCAAATCGAGATTGCTGTTGGTGATTCAGTTTATGTCAAAAAAAAAAAGAAGTACCAGTAATTCTTGCGACTCTGGATAATGGCTAAGCTGGACCTTCTCATCCTTTTCTTTCCCATTCTCCTTGCCCGTTCCATTTGGGCCATTGGGAAATTTCTCGTGATCACCTCTAGTCTTTGATCAAGCCAGATCAAAACGAAGGCGAAAGTCTACCGCCGCCATTCATCACTCATCCAAGCATTCTCGTCTGTTGCACCCTTTCACTCATACTTTCTATGGTTTTTATTTATACATTTCCGTCCACCCGTGGGCCACCTAATTCTCTGCTTATCCGTGCTTGATATATTTCTTAGATCATGAACATACCGTTCATCACAAGCATGACAAAAATAAATCCCCCTCAATTGGTGGACTGTCACATACTAACTCATCGGAGTTTTCTGAAGATCATTCATCCTCTCAACTGCCTAATCCAACTCGGTAAGGCATCCTTGCAGATCCTTTTCTGCTCTAATTTCACTCAGAAAGAAAACTGAGTCCCGATTGATTTCTTATCTGCGAGGAAATTCCCTCCAGAATACCATACTTCCGGTTTTTAGGACCCACCGCCATCGCACCCGGCGCGCCATTTCGTGAGATCAGTCTGAAATTAGTGCGCGAGTCAGGGAGTAAAGTACCCCAGACGGCCCGGCCAACTAACCTGGACCGGATGGTACCCCCAACGGCAGCCGTGTCGACGCCGAACAGTAGTCAGCTCAATTGTACGCCGGCTCAGCTAGCTGCTGATTTCGGACACGACAGCTCATTTAATTTGACTGAGGAACAGTTCCGTCGGAATGCGGATGTGTTCTATGACCATATGGGCTCATACTTGGGATGTATTAGGAAGGAAGATCTTTTGCAGAGCTTGTCTCAAGGGAAAGCAAGCGAGGCACTCAAGCTGGCCATCTCGGCCCTTGCCGAATGCATTCGACCTTCCTCGACGACGGTCGACTATGCCGAAATCTGCTCGCGTCGGGCCAAGCTACTGTGTCTTCCACATCTCTCCCTACCTAGTCTGGATACCACGTTCACCTTACTTTTACTGGCCTATTGCGAGTTTGGACGGGAGAAGGACTCCGGCCTGTGGATGTGGAGTGGGCTCGCATTCAGGATGGCAACAGACCTAGGTCTCCACAAATCCTCTTCCGCCATTCAAGAGCCATCCTCTGTGTCATCGCCCACGGCTACCTCATGGGACCAATCCGAGGCCGGACTCCGGCAGAGAATCTTTTGGTCTTGTTATCATCTCGACCGGTTGATTTCCAGTGGAACCGGCCGGGTGGCCACCTTACTCGACTCAGAGATCGAAATCGATCTCCCTAGTTTACAAGCCATTACTTCTGAGGATCCACTTCATCACCATCAACTGCTCCCTAGCCCATCTCAGGAAGCTCTCTTGTCACCATTTCACCACTTGACTCAGATCTTGATCCTCGTCGGGAAGATTTCTGACGCGTTCAATCGTAGTAAACTTGCCTCTCACTCTTCCTCTTCTCCCCCCTCACCTTCTTCCGAGCCGGAAGCTAAAACTTTGGAACACTTTCGGGTAAGTCTGCATCAGTTTCTCATTTCTCTCCCATGGACCATAGTAGAAATACTCTGATCTTTTCTAAATTGTCACGAAAACGGGAACTAACACAGCCGCGTCATTCTTGACTTGCATTTTCGTTCCAGACTGAGCTTCACGATTTTTATACTCGCTTGCCACCGGTACTTCACTTTACGGTCGACATTGCTCGACGACATATCAGCGTGAAAAATGGACCTGCGTTCTTGCTTTTACATCTTTGGTTTCATTCCTTGGTTATCATCACTCACAACCCTAATAGTGTAGGCCCTGGCTGGAGCTCACTTGATGTTGGGCCGATGGACCCTCTTCTTTTGGAGATAAGTCAGGGTAGCGTGCGGACGATCAGTGATATGGTTCGTCTTGCACTTTTTTCTTTCTCTTTAGCCAAGCGGGTAGCTGCGCCGGAAAACTGATGCAATTAAGGGATGATTGCGTTGAGCAGATTGCATTTGCGAATGTGGTTGATCCGGACATTGTTCCCAGTTTGCCGTTTGCCAGCCAGCCAATCTTGATCGCCGGGCTGGCAAGCATCCCTAGCCAAAGCAGCCAGCCTCCGAATCAGAGGCCAATCCAAGCGGCCGATTGGCGAGAATTTGAGATCTGCTCGGCGGCCTTACAGAAGATGCAAACGCGCTGGAGGGGCGTCGGTTGGCTGGTCTCCACCCTCCACAGTCGTGCAAGGAACGAGCAAGATGTCGACCTCTCTTCTTCCGGGGGCGCCGAAGTTAGCACTGCCGATAATAGCTTGATGAATAAACTTCTCGTTAGAAAGGCCGAGCCTGAGTTGCTCAACCCGATCTGTTTCTCTCATTCCAACGAAAGTCATCATTGTGAGTGTTCCATTGATCCCTTCTGTTTATCAATACTCGCTCCTTCTGATTAGCGCTTAACGATTCTTGAATTATTGTTGTAGTCGTAGGGCTTAGTGCAACCGGAACGTTTCATGAGCCTGCTAGTGGTCGCTTATCACTTGTGCACCAACCAGAAATATGTTGCTCTAGTAGTGAACCAACAGACTTCACTACGCACAATGAAGAACAGAAATGGACAGAAACGGGGGCGATGGGACAGCCGGTAGTCAATCAACTGGGGGGCCTCAAGCTGACCGTCAAAACAGAAGGGGAACCAGTCCAGGGTAGTTTGAGCGGAAAGAAGCATCAAGAGCATTCGGCGGACTTGGGACCAACGCTGGACTCAACGGACTACAATCTTCAGCCTTGTCCGGCAATCAAGCCGAGCCATCAAGCCGGAGAGAAGTTCATCGGTGCCGTGGTCGGCAAAGAGGATGTGCTCAGTCCAGGGCCTCAGGCGTCGTCTGCGTCATCCTATTGGGTCACTCAACCGATCCCTCAGATCTTTTGGCCCAATCTGCCTAGTCTCGAAGTGCTCAACCACCACAAGCCCGGCGGTCCTACTTATACTGGACTGACTGACGAGAATCATCAAGTGGATAAGGATTCGGCTGTCACCGATCAACCGATTACTCTCAGTAATACTTCTCAGACTGATGGGGGGTGTGCAATGATACGAGTGAAGGAGATTGAGAATTTTCAGCAATCTAACTCAAACGTCCTCAATCCATTTATTCTCCACGCCGACAATCATGGTGATAACCACCATCATCATCATCAACATCAACATCATCCTCATCTTCATCCGCTTCAACAGCAGCAGCAGCAACCACCACCACCTCTAGAACAACAGCAGCAACAACTCCCCGATCACATTCTGGGCCTCCCTGAGTTCTTTGAACACCAGTCTCACCCTCAGCAGTCTCCCTCCCCCGTCTTTGCTAAAGAAGTCTGGGATCATTTGTTCCGTGGCGAGGTGGGTATTTGGTCTAGTTTTCATCACTTCTGAGATCACCATCCCTTGTTTCTTTTTTCCCAGCCCTTCAACATCTCTTGACTTCATTCTTCTTCTTGATTTTTTTTTAAAATCTTTCCCGAGGAATACACCCCCTTTTTTTGCTTGAGCACGCCCGACGCACCATTGTGTGTTATCATTATTATTTTCTTTACAATGTTTTTTTATGTATACCAATCCCTTTCTTTCATATTTTTTTTTCAAAACTAACCAATTCCACAGACAAAGAATACCGCACAAATGACTGATTTTGTGTGCGTCAATATATCAATTCCGACTTTCTTCTACACCTTCCATCTCATAATTGTTTTCACCCACCTGCACACACACGATTCATTCATCTATCAACCAAAGATCATCAGTTTATCTCTTGATGATCGCGATCAAACAAAGACCCTTTCTATTTTTTTTTGCACTCTGCTTTCCTACAAAAACCAATTTTCCTCACAAAGAAAGATGTTTGTCTTGTCTCTATTTTAATGAAACAAAAGTACCTATAAAAAACTCCCCAAGTTGTATCTCTAGCTGAACAAAAAATTCAATATCGTATGAAAGTATTTCATCGACAAGGGGTGTCCCTCTGACCCACACCAGCATATTGTGGTAGGTTGAGGAAAAAATATCAATGAGAAAGAATGTTCACAAAGATGGGCACGTAAATGAGAAAAATATACATGCATTGCTTCCAAGAAGCAGGACAGATAAGCGTATCTGCCAAAATATCATACAAATCTAACTGAAAGCATACATGGCGTCTTTATGGAACGAGCTCGGTTTCCTCCCAATCTCCAGAGGGAGTCTTTTTCCATGAGAACCTGTGATGGGGCTTAGTCTTCAATTGGACACTGGAGAACAACAGAACACACATGTGAGTAGAGTCAGCGGATAAACAAAAGGTGAGGTAGATATGGAAAATTCAAGTTGTAGATAGGTATGTCGGTTAGGATGAACGAGTCAGAGAGGAGGAGAGGGGTATACTGACAGGTCGACCGACACGGGCTCCAAGACAATCAGAGCAAAGTGTTTGAGGGCGGCCGCCCGGAGCTCCTGGTCGCCCATCTCCAGCTGCTTCTCCAGATCTGCAGTTGGCTTCTCAGAGGCGTCTGCGACTAACCTGCTACCGGGCGCATTCTCTCCAACAAACGAGGCTTTCAGCTCCGAAGACAGCTTCTCATACACTCGCAGCCGCTCCGCCTCCCACTGGAAATCCGCTCCGCCCCGCGGCCCCAATCGTCTCGCTTGCTCGGCCGTTAAGCCGGCTACTCTTCCTCTTTCACTTTCCGCTGAGATCACATATGCTCGAGCTTGGATTCTGTACTGGAGTATTGAAAATGATAGAGACCCCATATTAATAATAATAAAAAGTGAGAAAAATGGAGTGCAACTGAACCTTATACTTAACTTGTTCTCCGGTGGGAGAGAACCACCAACAGATCGAAGCCAGGGGGCCAGATTGAGAAGGGAGAACGCCAGAGGAGGGTTCGCCAGAGGCACGGCTGGTGTGTAGTAGTTGTCCGACCTTTGGGCTTCGAACGTCTGTGCAGACCAAGAGATTGTCGCTGGTGTGCTCCTCATGATCCTCTTCCGACGAGGCACCATGCTGATCGTCGTGCCGGCGTCGCTCATTGACAAACCCGCGATGGACAACCGTTCGTGATTCGGGATGGTACTCGTACCTCGTCGCAGATCCATCCCCCCCGCTCTCGAATCGCGAGACCGTACTCAGACAATAACTGATCGAGTCTTTATCCTCCTTCATGCCATTTTTAAGAGTGTTCAATCAGTTCTCCCAAATCA